CAGGGGATGTTAACTGCTGCTTAATTTGACACAGAAAGACGGACGCTGAGTCCTGGCATGGGTCCTGGCATGGACAAGTGTTCTTGAATACAAATAACAAATTTGAGCTATTTAAGGTTTCATTTCCAATCGCCAGAGCTATCATCAGTCATGTCTGTCCATCCACTCTCCCTGTCAAAGGTACCATGACATCCTCATCCCCCTATTTCTCTTAACCTTCCCTCGTGTTTACAGTGGCCTCCACCCTCATGACTTAGTTGTATTCCTGGTGCCAGCCTGACACACCAGCATGCGGCTCTCATCTTCCTCCGTCTACTACCCTTCTAGTACTTCCTCACAAATACACTTAATGAGAAACATGAGGGCAGATGCTACCTATCCCTGAGTGCAAAAATTAAGCTCCCAGTCTCTGGCAGAACCCATCCCATTTTCCATCCTTGAAGGTCTGGTCAAAATTTATACGTGAATCTCATTCCCATTACTTTGCTCTTTAGTAATTTTATTTTGCTAGTGTATACAGCCACAGTGTACTCTCGCTCCTTTGCTTTACGGTAGTCGATTTCTTTTCATCCAGATATCTCAAAACACTCCATAAACACAACTTAAACTACAAAACTTATAAGCCTTCTGTCAGGTAGGAAAGACAATGACGTTATCACCTCTGTTTTATGAAAAGAGAAGCTGATGTTCAGAGAAAAATTTCATAGGAAGAAATCTCCAGTCAATACACTCTACATCCAAGATGACTTGGGATAATTTTAATGCTTGAAATGTACTTATCCAGGACACTTAATTTTTAGCTAAATCAAGACACTTGTGCAAGTCTATTAATTAGTAGAATTGTTTACAAAAATGACTACATTGTATCATTCTTTAATCATCTTAGAAACACCTGGAGCAGCTTAAGAAGTCATCATCAGGTGTTGTGTGTCTGTCCATGTCCCATCCCCGTGTCGTCCCCCCCCCCCGCCGCCAATGGCACTAATAGACCTTAAATGCCCTGACCAGCCTCACCGAGGACTCTCACCCTGAACCTACTGGGAAGGAGGGATCCATCTAAGCCCCAGCCTGGGCACCCAGGCCTAGTAAGTCTGCAGGCCTCTCTCTATCTCCTGGGTGGACGTTGGACCTATGTCGTAGTCTTGCCTCCTGCTGCTCCTGACTGGACTCCCGGGATGGACTCTGAACCTGATTCATCACCTCGCCTTGTCTGGTGCAGTTGACGAAACCTGTTATCAGCACCCAACGCTGCCCACCCTGCTCAGCTCCTCTGGGTGTGACACTGCCCCTGCCCGCCCCGGGCTCACCCTTAGCCCACAACTTGTCCCCTGCTCTTTCCGCTCCCTGACGCCCTCATCCCCACCGCCAGGTCATTCTCCTACTGGAAATGCTGGAAAAGATCTCGCAAGCGCTTCAGTGCAAAGCCAGCAAGCCACCTTAGTCCAGACCCTTTTCAATGGTGGTTTAAAAGCAGCCACTGAGTTTGCAGTGAAGCGGCTGCCAAGCACTAACACAAGCCGTTGCGTTACCACTCTCCAGACGAGCCAGTGTTGATTCGGGGTGAGAGTAAGTTACTGTGGGAATGCCATGCTCAATTCCCCTGGTTACATCTGCCAAAGGATGACTGCAGTGGGAGATGGAGAGTTACAGCTTAAAGCTCACTTTAATAAACCAAAAATATTTAAAATACAACTTGCCCCATCTACGGTAGAGTTCCAAAAGATATTAATTACAGTTTATTAGCTTTTCCGTAATGTTTCAAGCAAGTTCTTTCAGGCTGTCTACACTGAGTCATTTTTTGGAAAGAAACATTTTGGATCTAACCCTAAATGAGAAATTATTTCAGATTTGGTAATACAGACTGGGCTTTCAACTTCCTCCATGAGCAGGCATCTGGAATGGAAACGTGTCTAGAAAATTTTGGCCTGGCTGTTCAGCCTGCCCAGGCTCAGGCTGCTCTCAAAGCTGAAAGCCTCACTGAGAGACAAGGGTTAGATTCCTCACAGGCTGCCCGTCCCCCAGTGCCAAGAAGTAAACACATATGTCTAAGGCTATATAAACTGATTAGACACCTAATCCTACCTTTGTCTGCATCTGGTATTGCTGAGAAAGACGATGAGGAGCAACAAGTAAGGGAGGAACAGAGGGAAATAGAACATCAGCTTGTTGGAGAAACGGGGGCCAATACACCGCTGGAGACATTAATTTCACACAAACTATAAGCATACCTCTCAAACCAATACGACCCTAAAATAGCACACAGGTCTTCAAAGGGAGGGGAGAAATCCTCCCCAAAAGAGAGGTGCTGCACTTTCATTGACTACGTAAAAAAGCTCAGGGGCAAATTAATGAAGAAAGCAATAGCTTCTCTAGTTACTGTATCAAGTCTGCGATCAAAATGGCAAGCAGGGGAGTCCTGCCGGCTGCAGTCCTCCTGCCAGAGGGGCACAGGGGGGTGCACTCACTGCCAAACACAAGACACGGCGGTGGCATCAGCAAAGAACCCCCTCCCAGAGGGTCCTCTCCCAGGGCTCAGACGCCACTACCACGCAACTCTGCGGCACTGCTGGCTTTCCTAAAACAACCTCGCGTCACAACTTTCGTGAGCATCGCAAGACCTGGCCAGATAAGAGCCAGGACCCGCAGCCTGAGATGCAGAAGAGTTTGTTAACTTCTGTAACACTTTCTGCCATTTCCAATTCAAGATGCAGAACATGCGTTGCCTGTTTGTAGCAATAATTAACAGGAGATTGCGGTAAACGTGCATTCAGAATGAGGGACAGATGCCTGAAAAACACTGAAAAAAGAAGTACTGAGAAGGAAGCTAGGTTAAAAATGACAAGAAACATATTTTCTCAAATCACCTCATTTGCCTTATGGTACAAATACTTTCAGGATTCACACTGTCAAGCACTTCTCCCAACCATGAGAGTGCATTTGCTTTTGAAAAAGAGGAAAGGTGGAGATTAATGGCTGACAACTGATTTGGGCAAGTGGGCCTCTGAGAAGAGATATTAACTATTAGAAGGGCTTGCGACTCTAAATCAGTGAGCAAAGAGATGCTGTGCGAGGCAAATAGGATTTAATTGACCTACAGTGATGACAAGCTGTAGTGTTTTCTCATAGATAATAACCGGTTGCAGAAAAGAAGATGCCTTAGGCCTTCAACCAAATTGGTCACCTTAAAGCTATGAAATGCCCCACCCAGCACTAATTATTGCTATTATAATAGTAACAATGAAATCAAAAGTAACAGTTGTTATTCTTTGACTGCTGCCTTGCCAATGCTGGTATTTTGTTTGATATGGAGCAAAGAAAGATGCTTAATCAACTTAAAATTGCCCTTTGTTTCAGAAAGCTTTTGCCATTTTCTGAGTAAAACTCAAGTTTCGACAAGTTGTGAAAACAACTCTGTGTTTCCAGTTTCCAGCGTTTGCACCTTACACAGTGTTTTGTGCATCTGTGATGAAGGTTAAAGCAGGAATTTGCTCAGTCTTGTGTTATGATACCCCCCCAGTTGGCCTGTGGCTGTGACTACCCCTATAGGTGCCCTTTCTGCCTTCTGCCATCCTCACCTGTTGTTTACGTGGGTTTTCACGTGGCCAAAATAAGAGGCAACTGCTTTGAACCACAGTAACTAGGAACATCAGCAGGTGGTCTTAGAATCGGGTGAATCGCCTCTTACTAGCTCTATTTTTGAAACACCGGAATAGGTTTGATTCTGTGCCACCACACTCGGTGAGATAAGAAAGCGGAGCGTCCCGACCGGCCATCTGTTCAACGCACAGCCGGAAAGCGTTCACCTTCACCCAGCCGAGGGCTCTGAGGACCGCCTGCCGGGAGCTAGGGGAGCCCTGAATCCGGGCTAACAGAAGGGATCTGCAGCCAGCTATCTTCATATGTAATAGGGATGTACTGCTGATGGAAATTACAAGCAAATTACAGATTCCAACATGTCCTGGTCTAGCCAGACCCAAACAAAAGCACATGGTGATAAGGACAGAGCGCTGCACGCTGGGACCTGTGGTCTCCATGGACCTCATTGCTTTATTAAAGGGTTGCTGGTAAGCTACGGTGTACTACAAAACTCTACATCTTTCCTAGAAACTGTCCTTTCCTCAGTTGTGTTTATAACGCCTTTTATAATTTCCAGCTCTTCTGTTTGTTTTTATATGGGTTTAAGAGGGTTTCTTTCTCTTCAAATCAAATCATAGGGCCTCCTGTTTCTAGCTCAAAGTCTCCCTAAAGCTGCTAATCTCATATTAACAGCCTACTGACACAGAAGAGACCACGGAAAAGACTGATTGCCAGCTCTCTGGCCCTGTGACCGTGTGCTGGTCAGATCTGGATTAATGCTTGAGGCGATTTACCTCAGGAGGCCTTGTTACAGGTGCCTGTAACTCTAAACTCTCCTTCAGCTGCCTGGCAGGAGAGGGAGGAGGGGAACCTGTGAATCCACAGCTGATGCAGACACAAACAAGGCCCCTCTGAAACTCGCTTTTCTTTTCCTATAGAAAATCAGGATGACAGCAGCAAAAAAAAATCCTTGATTTCAGATAAAAGGCGAGGAGCCGGGCATCAACATCCCACCCGGGACACAAAATCCACTGCGATGCTCCCTCTGACTACCTGTCACTGGCAGCAAGTTTGCTTGACTTTAGCTTTTCTGGTTACTAGAAATGGTTATCCAGGAGCATGGGCAAACATGCTGATTTCCTCCAGTATTTGTGTAGTGGTATAGTCCTGCTGTGTAGGCTAGTTCAGGTACAAGAGTGACTCTTTCAGCTTTAAAAACAGTTTAAGCTGTTCACATTTAAGGAAAGATGGAAAAACAGCATCATTCTTATTTGGCAAGGAGCGTGCGTGTGACAGTTTGGTTCGCCAGCCCAAACGGCCTCAGGCTCCTCTCCAGGGCTGGGCTGCACCTCCTACATTCCCAGCGCTGTGCCATGCAGACTCTGCTGCTCCATGGCCCTACATAGCAGGAGGAGGGTGCTGGGATGACGGCTCGGGCTGACCAGCTGCGCGTGACGTCACCCAGCAGAAGAGAGTCCACGCGCCGCATCTGGGCTGCGTGAGGAATACGACCAACTGCTGGGGAGAGAGAGAAACGGGGGCAGCAGCCGATGCTGCCCGCGACCAGGTCAACCTCCAAGGCTTCGCATGTGCCCGAGCCTGGAGGTAGAGCACGCCTCATCTCCACTAAGATGATTCTATTTCGGAATGATTTCATTTTGCTTGTTTAACAAATTGCCAATAAAATAGGTAATTGTTCCTGGCCTGAAGTTAAACAATCCTGTTACTGAGTTACTGTTGTTTGCAGGTCAGAGAGCTGCAAGAGGTTTGGCCTTCGAGGCACCACACTGTCCCCTCTAGGAAGAGGGATGAAGTACAAAAACATTCTACCATACCTTACAGAGAAATTAATTTTACCTGTAATTATGGTTATTACAAGGCTGCTTGTTCCACCTTGGCTTCTTAAACAACCACGCTGCAGCTCATACAGATCTTCTATTTAGAGCAACTCCTACCTCTCCCTGACCCTTCCCTGCCTCTAACACGGCGTTGCAGCTCTCATAGCTTTCCACAGGTCTTTATTATTAAGGAGCATCTGCAGGGAAACAGGATCTGACTGACTCTGCAGCAGCTGCTCCTGCTGCTCACCTCCCCACCTGAAACAGCAGTCCCCTGTTTCAAAAGTCGCCTCCATCACCGCGGCAGCCGGCTCCGACACCACCAGTGCAATGCTGTGCTGCCCTTCTGAGGGACAGAATATTCTTGGCTGCTCCCCACAAAAGAAATTCTTGAACAATATCTTTGCATATCACAAACCTACCTTGGTTTTGCGCTGTCTCTCTCCTTTTCTGAGTCTCAGTGGGGAGTACCCAGCCAGTGCGAGTCTTTTTAAAAATTGATTCCTTATCCATATTTGGGAATTTGTGCTGGGCACTAGCTGGTACGAGGCATGTTCTTCCCACAGTGCACTTTGGGACTTGTAGTTCCCAAAAAGGAATGTTGTTTTCCAAATTGCAAGCACCAAGCAACCGAAACAGAAGTCTGAAACGCCTTTATCTCCGCCTTTGCTTGGCTGCTGGGCCCTTCCTTTTACAATGTTTCTGTGCTGTGTTTTTGCCTTAACCAGCCTGAATCCTCCAGGAACTTCTTTCACGGTTGACGGCGCGGGGTGCGAACCCCTGGATGCGGTGCTGCTGCGGCAGAGTGCCCCTGCCGCGGCTGCCGGGGGCAGGTGCGCGGCCCGGCCGCCGGGAAACAGCTACTTATAAAAAAAGAGAGTCATGATCAGGTTTTTAAGCATACTCTCCACGCCTTCCTGCTCCCTGCTTCCAACACTGGAATGGCCCAGAAACTCCCCTTTAAAAGATGTATTTCACTTTTTAACACGTTCTGCACTAGCGCATTTTATTTTTGTGATTAAATGGTCGTAGCAGGCGGTCAGCATTACAAAACAAATGAATCCTGCCCCTCCTGCAGAGAATCGTTTTTGAAGAGAGTGAGCACGGACTGCCATAATTACCTTGTAACCAGGGCACCCTATTGTTTTTAAATAACAACCGAGGCAGAATGCGGATCGCTGCCCGCAGGCTGCTGCTGAAGACGCCGTCGTTGCGCCCGAGCGCCAGCCCCCGTAACAGCGCACCCCGCTTCGCGCCGCGCACACGGGGCGACGGAGGAGGGGGAGGCCGGGAGAGGAGGGCCCCGGCCCCCCCGCCCGGGCGGCGGCAGCTGCCCAGGCTGCGCTGCTGGGGCAGCGGCGGG